GCTAGGGTTTCGGAAAATTGTGAAAAAGTGAAAAAAATAACTTTTATATGTCCGGTAAAAATCCGGTTAGGTTAAAACGTAAAATGTTAAAATTAACGGTTCGGTACAATTAGACGACTGAAATTTCAGTCGTCTGGGAAATAATTTAAAGCAGACGACTGAAATTTCAGTCGTCTGGGAAATAATTTAAAGCAGACGATTGAAATTTCAGTCGTCTGGGAAATAATTTAAAGCTTAGTCGTCTGGAAAATAATTTAAAGCAGACGACTGAAATTTCAGTCGTCTGGGAAATAATTTAAAGCAGACGACTGAAATTTCAGTCGTCTAATCCCTAAACATAACCCCTAAACTTTATTCTCTAATTAAACACTTCGAAACATCAATTTAAACTTGAAAAATGTTTACTATACACAGAAATAAACACATTGAAGTCAAATTATTTTTTTCAAAAAAACATTTCAGCTTTTCAAAATCTAACCCTAAGATTACATACAATACTACAACATATGTTTGCCAAACCCTTAAACTAAAGAATATCATGATTCACTACTTCCACTCATCTATGCTGAAAACAAATCAACTTTATCATTTCTTAATTTATATCACTTATAAATGTTTATAATTACATGTTTTTAATTTTTCACTCATCAAAATATTTTGTACAGAATTTATAAATTATTTTTAAGATTCAATCGTCCAGACAACTAACATTTTAGTCGTCCAGACGACTGAAAAGTAACTCAGCCCGACCCAGACAACTTACTGGGGTTATATTCGTAAAAATGTCTTCTGTTTTTTGTTTGGTCACAGAGCACTATATTGTAATTTCATAGTCATTTTAGGTTAGATTTGCATTTGATTCAAGTTGGGGTCTAATATTGGGATTAAAACCAAGTTATGAGTTAGTTTTGGCAAAAACCCCAACAAACAATCATGTATGCACTTTGTAAATGTATAAGTAAGTATGTGTGCGTGCATATACCTGGCGTGATGGTAATGTTTTGCTCATATTTATAATCACCGATAAAACCAATACACCATGCATAGAGACTATAGTCGCCTGTCCTCACATTCTCTATTACGAATCTCCCTTTTCTATCAGCTTTCGTCCAAAACTGATACCCCTTTTGTCACAAAAATGATTTATATTAATAGTTGCACACAAAAAAAAAGTTAATATGCAGTATAAAAATTGCCACAAAGCAATATGGTTTGTACATTTGTAAAGAGCGAGACTACTATTATTACTATACATACCTTGGATTCGGTTTGCCATGAACCGGCTTCACCAACTGGTGCCAAACCAATAAAAGCAAATTTCCCATATATATTTGACCTTGACACGTACAAGATTATGTTATGCAAGGGAAAATAAGATAATGGCGAAGAGCATAGCTAATAATAATGTATTTTCCTAGAGAAATAGGGATATTTATTTACCTATCTTTGATATAGAATTGACCTTGGATTCTTCCTCTTTGATGACTAAGAGGGTAATCTTCTGAATCTACAAAATCATAAGGCCAGCTTTGGACCTCTGCAGCCATCTGCGAAAGATTAATACTATAAATACAAAATGTAAATCTTAAGTTTTCGGAAACAAAAATGAGTTGATTGATATAAGTAGGAACTACATATCATTTATTTAGTTTTAAATAACAATAATGATACGACCCAAATAACCTGTCGTTTGGCATCTCTCCATAGATGAAGAGTGGAAGCATTGTGAGAGACAGAGTTTAGATAAGCCAAGACAGGTCCAAACACCTTCTTCCATGGTTCTCCATTTCTGTAGCCCATTCTCATCTCTTTCCCCGCGTAGTGCGTGCTCATAAACATCTACAAAAAACATAATTGTTCAGGGTTTGTATTTTGTAGAATATGCATATGATGAATAGACTCACGGAGAGGGTGATAGGTCCAGCGTGAGAGGTGAGGTCTTGCTTGATGGGTCCACCAAGTCGAAACTCATCGCTCGGAGTTATCATCCAAAATCCAACCGGTGGATCCGACGAGATCCAACCATGAACGTTGTTGTCTTTGTCTTCCATTGAGTACATATACTTATCGTCTACCTGCGCCACACCATATCATTTCCCCCCAATGTAACTTCCTTAATTAGTATAGGATAGTCTTGATTTTTTTATTAGACTTATTGAAATGTATCAAGAACCAAAAATAAACCGTCTATCCTCAAACGGTTCTTTTTTCTTTTTTTTTTGCTAAATCCTCAAACGGTTCTTTAACTTAGTTTAGTAGTTTTTTCAGATTATGTTTCACTAAATTATTATATACCTCTCCTTTGAACATAGGGTTCCTTGGATTTGTCAAAAGAACAGCTTCTTTGTATGCTAATGGCTTAGCATGGTTCCGATCTGCCATGGACGGCATGCTTCTCTGCCGATCATCAGATATTGCCATGAAATCAAACCTGAATAAGTATGCAATAATGTTTTATATAATTAACAAAATTTTCACTAAATGATTTTTTTTTAAATGAAATTTAGATTAGAAGTATAAATATAAATAATAAAATGTATACGGTTACTTTGTGTGGTTGAGCTTGAATACCATCCTAATTTGGTCCATGTCCACGTCGGGCCAGCCTTCTAACCTCTCCAATATAGCGTACATGTATATTCCGGAGACACCAGTTCGAATAATGTACCTTTTCAAAATCATTTATTTAGATCAAAATTACATAAATATATCTTTGTTAACATTTTAACCTACTTACCTCTTATCTACGTTAAGGGGGACCATGGAGCCACCTTTAGAGATCGTCCAAGTCCTTGTAAATGAAATCTCAACTTGTTCTTCATTCTCAGTTATGATTTCAAATCTAGTTCCTTCTAATCTACGAAACACAAAAAACATAAAAGATGTTACTCTTCTCTATATCGACCTACAATCAGTCGTCACTACAAGAATATGTTATCAAACCCATCACATTTTTATTAGAAAAAAAAAGTTAGTGTATGCTTTATATCATCACCCACTACAAGAAAACTGTCGGATACAACGGACAAAACCGCCAGAATTCGGTCGGGAAACAAGGATTCCAATGGATCTCGACGAAAACGGTAGTCGGTATCATTTCGTCGGAAAACAGAAATCCATCGGGAATTCGTCAGAAAATTTTGAAATATTACCGACAAACACAATCCCGATGAAACTTTGACGAACATATCGGTCAGAATTTTTCAAAATACTGACAAACAAATCGGTCGGGATTTTTAAAACATCCGACGAACAAAAACCGTTGGAAATTTCAAAAAAAAACCGACAAATATCCCGACGAACCCTTGAAGTCAGGATTTTGAAAATCCCGACGGATTGTGTCCGTCAGAAATGTGTTTTGTGTAAAAAAAATTATATAATTATATAAATAAAGTAAAAAAATAATATGAAATGATAATTTACATTTTAAAAACAGTAGTAGTTTTAATTCAAAATTATACATAAAATTTATAAACGGTTTTAGAATAATAAATAGAAATTAAACAGAATTTATAAAATGTTATAAAATAATAAACAGAAAATAAACATATATAAAATGTTTTGAAATAATAAAAAGAAAATGTTGATAGTTCATAATTAAAAATGTTTAACTTATCTTTTAATAATTATGAAAATATTTCTGAAAACTTTTTTATTTGTTCCAATATATAAAAATGTTTTTATTAATATTTAAATATTTTATAAATAATTTAAAAAGTTTTTTTTTGAAAAAAAAACAAAAACATGAATAATCAATCTTTCAATCATAAAATTCTTAATCTAAACTTCAATCCATAATTCTAACATTAGTCCCGACCCTTATATATCTCTACATCTTTAATCTAACTTCCAAATCCCTAATCAATCTTTCAATCACACAAACCCTAAACAAACTAACTTTGTAACATCTAAAAACCCTAAGCAAATTAATTGGGAGAGAAAACTTACATGATTAGGTAGGGAGAGTGAAGGAATCGACGGAAGAGGAAGAGAAGGAGCTGATTTTGGTGTTTTTCGCGAGAGAGGGAAAGAGAGATCGATGGAAAGAGAAAGAGAAGAGAGGAAAAATGGGGAAGAAGAAGGGTTTTTGGGTTAAGTAGAAAAAAAAAATTGGAAGGAAAAAACCTGTCAAAATTCGGTCAGTATCTACTATTTGGCGGTGAATCAAAATTTTGGCGCAATGATTTCTCGGTTATTTTTTGGTATACCGACATATGAGACCCGTCAGAAATTCGTCGGGAATACATTCCATCGGTTTTTTTCCGACGAAATATCAACATAATAGGGTATCGTAATGCCCATGTTTTAAAAATTGATTTACAATTGTTATATGCCTTTGTACAACGGATATATTATGTTATATAAGCATAAAACATTATCAAAAATAATTAAATTTAATTAGAGAAGTATAACTTACGAGATCTGGCGTAAGCTACATAAGAGTGTATGATTTTAATATTACGGTTTTGATGAATATATCATGTTCAAATTTTGAAAATGTGAAGATACAAAGGTGACATTTGTTTTCTAATCTTATATTTGATCCCCAATCCTTTTAAAAAACTAAACCCTAACCCGTAATGAACCAAAACCACAAACTGATGAGGTCTGTTAGTATTCCCATGGGATTTTCTGACGGAAAACCGACAGAAACCACAAATTGGAGGTTGCCATCAGTTTTCTGTCAGGATATACCGACAGAAAACTGATGGACATAACAAATTTTGTTTTCTGTCAGAAAAAAATCCCAACGGAATACTGACGAACCTCATCAGTTTGTGGTTTTGGTTCATTACAGGTTATGGATTTTGGTTTTTAAAAGTATTGGAGATCAAATATAAGATCAGAAAAAACAAATGTCACCTTGTATCCTCACATTTTAAAAAATTTGAACATGATATATTCATCAAATAAAAAACGTAATGTAAAATTCATATACTCTTATGTGTCTTATGCCGGATCTTGTAAGTTGTACTCCTTTAATTAATTTAATAATTTTTGATAATATTTTATGATTATATAACATAATATATTAGTTGTATAAAGGCATATAACAAATTGAAAATTAATTTTAAAAGCATTGACATTATGAAACCCTATTCCGTCGGTATTTCGTCAGGAAAAGCTGACGGATTACCGATGGAATGTGATCTCGTCTAATTTCTGAGGGTGTCGTCCGTTGGCATACCAAAAAATTACCGGGAAAACACTGCTTACTCACCGCCAAATCGTAAATACCGACCGAATTTCGACGGGTTTTTGGTATTTTATTGTTTTGTCCGATACTATAACGACTTAAACTTGACGGATACACTTATCTGTCGGTATAGTTTCGGGTTTTTTGCTACAACCATATTTTTTCGGGATATTATCGGTTTTCCGTCGGGATTACATGACCGTTTCACGACGAATTTTATCGGTCGAGAAAATCCGACGGAATACCGAAAAATTTGGTAAAGCTTATTTCCGACCTTTTTTTGTCGGTGTTCGGTCGAGATTTTCCAACAGAATTTTTTTGTCGGTTTTTCCATCGGAAAATCCCTTGTTTTCTTGTAGTGGCCGTAGAAAGAAAAATCAAACATATCGTTCTAAAATTGAAATTGAAAATATTTCTAAAAATGGCTGTAATCAATTATTACTCACTTGTCAGTTTTGAATTTCTTTCCCGGTCATACCAGGCTACGTCCCAATACCTATTTCCATAATTTTTATCAAAGAAATGCAGTAAGACTTTATTAGATAGTTATGTGCATTAGTAAGGAAATGTAATAAGCATTGGGAATTCGGCCAAAAAAAACACGAACTTTGCACAAATTGCCAAAAGAAACCTGTACTCGACCCTGGCCAAAATAATACTATACATTTGTTGACTTTTTAATTTTATTAAGAAACTTTTGATTGACTGGCCAATTTAACACACCGTTAATTCGCAGTTTAGACAGCGTTAAATTGCCGTTAAATGAAACGACGTCGTTTTACATGATTCAAAAATAAAAAACATAGACCCCAAGATTTGAACCCAGGTTGGGTAAGTCATATGACATGGTATTTTACCATTGGGCTAATGTTACTTTCATTGTATTCACTAACATATTTTGTTTTATTGAGTACTAATTGAATATAAAATATCTCTAATAAACTTAAAAATACCTTTAAAATTACAAAAAATTGAAAAATAAAGATTATTTTATAAAATTAATTTTGAAATTAAAAATTAAAACAAAATTTCATTTTTTTTCTTTTTAAACAATTAAAAATCTTCCAAAATTTTCAAGAAAGTTTAATTTTAAATTAAATTATAAATAATTTTTATTTTTATACTAAATATGAAAAAATCGAAAAATATAAAACAAATCCAAAAAATTTAAAAATTCAAAGAAAAAGAAAGCAAATTAAAGTTACAATTATCAGCTTAAAATTAAAATCGCACTCATAATGGGTACGATAATTATTTTAACCATTTTCATTTTAAATGAAAATTTTTGAAGATTTTTGATTTTTTAGAGAAAAATTTAATTTTATTTTAAATTTTAATTTCAAAATTAATTTTATAAAAAAAATCTTTATTTTTCATTTTTTTGTAATTTAAAGGTATTTTTAAGGCTTTTAGAGATTTTTTTTATTCAATAAGTACTCAATAAAACTAAATATGTTAGTGAATACATTGAAGTAATTCTTTCCCAGTGGTAAAGTACCATGTCATTTGACCCTATTAACAACACTGGTTCGAATCTAGGTGTCTACGCCTTTTTATTTTCATTTAACTCGGATGAGAGAATGTTAAAAACAATTTTGTTCGTCAATGTAATGTAAAGTCTAGTAGCCCAGCGGTAAAACCCCAACTATAATCCCTAAAAGTGCACAAGTTCAAATCCCTTGGAGCACGTTTTTACATTTTACTTTTAAAAGCAAAAACACATAAAACGACGTCGTTTCATCATAACGCCCAAATTTAACGTCGTCAAAAAAATCCGTTAACTTTGTTAACGGTGTGTCAAATTGGTCAGTCAATCAAAAGTTTTTTAATAAAATTAAAAAGTCAACAAAAGTATAGTGTTTTTTTGGCCAGCCCATATGTACAGATTTATTTTGGCAATTCGTGCAAAGTTGGTGCTTTTTTTGGTCGAGTTCCCAATAAGCATTTCATTTTCGATGTAATATGTTACAAACATATGAAAAGTTGTGTTAAAGAATTTTACCCACGGCGACGATAGTCAACTTCGTCGTCCAACACGTTGTCGATGCCATTGTATCTAATTCCAGTTATCGAACCTTGTGGGCTCGAAAAAGTAACTTGAATAATACCATTATCAATTACCACCTAAAAACCAACAAAGAATATTTATTATACAATTTTTATTAATATTATTTCTATCATGTATTTTATATTACAACCACAAAAAGATAGATGAGAATATATGAATATTTCTTACTTTGTCCTGATCAACTCCACTTAGCTGAACTGTTAGGGCTGATATGTTTTGTCCAGGCTTTGTGATGTTAAGTTTGTTTCTGTTAATGTAGAGTTTTAGCAAAGATAAACTAATTTGCTCAAATCGTGGGGTGTAACTGTGTAAGTACTTCTAAATCTGTATATTATCTGTGTTAATCCTTGTTTTAATTAAAAAAAAAAAAAGCAATGTAAATCTTATTCGCAAACGTATGTATATGTCAAATAGCTCTTGGATCTACTAACTAGAATTGATGATCTGTCAATTATTGTTGTTTGATTTTAATAGCTTCAACTATAAATAGTATGGTGCGAACGCCACTTGAATATAGAAGATCGTCAATGTAAATGAAATATATTTTGAAAAACCCACATACCAAATATACTTATGTGAAAGAACTGCGAAAGAAGAAGAAGACTAGTAGTTTTAAGAAAAAGAAAGACATGTAGGTTTAGAGCCGAAAGGAAACAGCAATCGAATACTTTCTAAGGTTTAAACTAAATTTGTAAAGAAGAGAAGGTTAAAAGGATTTTATTCCAACTTTGAAAGATGAATGAGACCAATAGCTTAAAACAAATATCCTTTGTTTCTTTTTAATTGTCGTTTAACGTTAATAGTATATTTTGAACACACGTCTCGTGACGATCTTCGTTTAGAGATTCTCGTTTTTATATATGTTTATATAGTAGTAGTGATATAAACGCGAACAAAAGAAAGTAGTTAGGGATTGTCATTACCAACGAAGCTTCAATTATGTTCCTCTAAACCATTTATATATAGTCAAGTAAACCTTACTAGAGTGATTTGGCAAAACCTTACGGATTTGCCATATTTTAGAAGAAACAAATAGTGATGGGGAATGAAAGAGAAGAGAGAAATAGGGTATGTAGCTAATTAAGGTGTTTTATGTGTGTATAGATTGCAAATACTCTTCTCTTTTTGTGTTTTGTTTATTGGAAATTGGTTAAAAAGTAAGGCTAAACATTTATTTTTAAGGCTTGCAAATTAATAATGATAAAATTTCTTCATGAACATTAAAAAGATAATGCAAAAACAATAAACAGGTGAAAATCTACAAAGGAAAATAATGGCGACAAGAATAGTAAATTTAACATGTGAACTTGAGAAGTTAAAAGCTTTTAAAACCATTTTTGCATTTTAGAAGAGACTGATAAAAACCTGATCCCACCCAGTTCGGTGAAGAAAATGAGTTTTGAATTAAGGGAAGAGCAAACATACTGTGATCTCTGAGAATGGACACTTTGAAGGAGATGCAGGAGAAGAACTTGGAATATGACCCAACCACATATCTTTCTCGGAGCTCCGACTTTCATCTCCGCCACAATACACAAAACCTCCGACATAAAAACCATTGTTATAGGAGATATACGTATATATAAACACACAAATATGAAAAGAAAAAAAAATTAAGAAGGATGAAATGTCACTTAACTACATTTTAGAGTTTGGGTTTTATTAGGAAGATAAGATTTGAGGAATGAAGGAGAAGAGATAAAGGCTCTACTATGTAGAAGGTAATGTAACCTCTCTCTCTCGTCTCTAAAACTCACTGATTATTCTTTTTGTTATCATAGCTAGTAATCATAGGATTAGAATCGTAGGTAGCTTTTATAAACCCTCAGAGGTGGGGAGGTGGACGTATATAATTATAAACTACTCTAACAGTACAAAATGTCCTACTATGTAATAAAACTCATAAAGTGAACTTGAGTGTAAATCACTATCTTTAACTTACTTGTGTTCATATATATACATACTGTATAGGGAAAATTGCCAAATATAACTCAAAACTTGATTTGAAATGTAAAAGTAAACTCAAACTTGAATCAAATGCAAAAGTAACGTAAAAGGCTGTTGAAATTACAACCAACCCCTTGTGAACAAACAAAAAAAGACTCTTTTTTTTACCTTTCTAGCCCTCGCAAGTCGTCTGGGACAGTTTTTCTTAAAAATAATTTAAAAATTGTGTAATAAATATCTTGATAAATGAAAAATTGGGATTATGTAATTAACATATGTCTTAAGAGATATAAATTAAGATATAAAAAAGTCAGTTGTTTTCAGCATAGATGAGTGAAAGTAATGAGTGATGATATTATTTAGTTTTCACCAACATATGTTGTAGTATTGTATGTGTTTCTTAGCGTTAGAAATTCGAAAGCATAAATGTTTTTTTGAAAAAATTAAAATTTACCTAAGTGTGTTTATTTCTGTGTATAGTGAACACTATTTAAGTATAATTTGATTTTATAACATGGTTAATAGTTAATTTAGTCAATTTAGTTTAGGGTTTAGGGTCTGGACGACTTAATTTAATAAGGCAGACGACTTAGCCGGATGTATAGTATCAACAGACGACTTAATTATAAGTCGTCCAAACCGGATTTTACCAAATTACTTTTAAACCTAACCGTATTTTTTACCGGACATATATAAGATGTTTTTTAACGCACTTTTTCGCGAAACTCAGAAAACCCTAACGCCGTTTCTCTCAAAGGTGATTTCGAGGCGATTTCGATCCGATACAAGACCAAGGTAAATCGAAGGCTTGTCTTGCAGATTTATGGGTTTTTATTAGGATGGATGTTGTTTTCCTTTACTTTTACCGTTTGGTTATGTGTTTTCAACGATTTGGGGAAATTTTGGTTTCAAATTAGGGTTTCAAAAATTGAGGATTCAATCGACTTGTTGTTTAGTTAGGTTGGATGTTGTTTTCCTCTCATTTTACAGTTACTATTTGTGATTTCAAGCAATTTGTGGATATTTTCATTTCAAATTAGGGTTTCAAAGATTGGGGATTTCAATCGATTTGTGGTCTAGTTAGGTTGGATGTTGTTCTCCTCTCATTCGTCTAGTCAGCTTTCAAATGTTCTACTGGATGTCTTGGTAGACTTATAATTAAGTCGTCTGGAAAGCCTTCCAGGTGGACGACCCAGACGACTTAATTTAAGTCTTCCAGGTGGACGACCCAGACGGCTTAGAATTAAAATGTTTCCAATTCGTTTCTTGTTTGCAGATGGCGAATCAGCATGAACCTCACTTCTTGAAGCCTCTGCTTCCTGGTTTCTACAGTGGCGTGGTATACACACGCTCTCTATTTCTCCTATGTTTATTTCCTTTGCTTATCTTCTCCTTTGTTGACTTGTAGATAATACCACTTGCCTTCTACTCAAAACACATAGAAGGCACGCCGAACCAAGGAAAATGGACACTACGATCGGACGCTTCACACCAAACTTGGGAAGTTATACAAGAAGGAAGAAGACTCACCGATGGTTGGGAAGCCTTTGCCCAAGCACACTCCCTTTGCATCAGTGACATTCTCGTGTTCAAAAAGGAAGGAGACATGGTATTTCATGTGACTCCTTTCGGTCCTAGTTTTACTGAGATTCAGTATACATCTCCTCAAGGGGATGATGCTGCGGATGGTGCCTCAACTTCCTCGTCTCTTCCTAAATGATGGATGTTTGTCTTGCTATCGTCTTATTGTAATCTGCTTCTAGAGGACTTGTAATGGATGACTTCTATGTTGTTGTTCCCTTGTTTCAAATTGTTTTTAAACCTATGACTTGTAATGGATGATCAACTTTTATAACTACAACTCCTTTTGTCCTCTATGTACAAACCATGGTAACATCAATTTTAATTATTAGTTGTTTAAGAAGTCTAACACAAAATCTAACACAAATTCTTAAAACATACTCAAAAAGCCTGGACGACTTAGTAGACGACTAATATTTTAAGTCGTCTGGAAAGTCATCCAGCAGGAAGATTTGTCAGACGACTTAGTTGAAAGTCGTCTGGTATAGTTATTCTTAAACATAATTTAAAAAATTTGTAAAATATATTTAGATAAGTGAAAAATTGAAATCATGTAATTAACACCAGTTTTAAGAGATATAAATTAAGATAGAACAAAATTTAATTATTTTTAACATAGATGAGTGAAAGTAGTGAGTGATGATATTTTATGGTTTTGGGTTTGCCAACATATGTTGTAGTATTGTATGTGTTTCTTAGGGTCAGATTTTTGAAAGCATAAATGTTTTTTTGAAAAATTAAAAATTTAACTAAGTGTGTTTATTTCTATATATAGTAGACTCTATTTAAGTATAATTTGATTTTATAACGTGGTTAGTTAGTTAATTTAGTCAATTTAGTTTAGGTTTTAGGGTTTAGGGTCTGGACGACTTATATCTAAGTCGTCTGGTAAATATATTTAATAAGGCAGACGACTTAGTCGGATGTATAGTATCAACAGACGACTTAATTATAAGTCGTCCAAACCGGATTTTACCGAATTACTTTTAAACCTAATCGGATTTTTTTACCGGACATATATAAGAAGTTTTTTTTTACTCACTTTTCACGAAATTCAGAAAACTCTAACGCCATTTCTCTCAAAGGTGATTTCGAGGCGATTTCGAGGCGATTTCGATCCGATACAAGACCAAGGTAAATCGAAGGCTTCTCTTGCCGATTTAATGGGTTTTTATTAGGATGGATGTTGTTTTCCTTTACTTTTACCGTTTGGTTTTGCGTTTTCAATGATTTCGGGAAATTTTGGTTTCAAATTAGGGTTTCAAAAATTGGGGATTTCAATCGTCTTGTTATTTAGTTAGGCTGGATGTTGTTTTTCTCTCATTTTACGATTACTATTTGTGATTTCAAGAAATTCGTGGATATTTTCATTTCAAATTAGGGTTTCAAAGATTGGGGATATTTTACGGTTACCGTCGTTCTCATCGCGCTTCTTTTTCACGTCTATTTTTGTAGTTCTATAACCGCTATGTCGAAGGCGAGTACATCTTCTCCGAATTTTCAGGTCAGCTTTCAAATGTTCTACTGGAAGTCTTGGTAGACTTATAATTCAGTCGTATGGGTGGAAGACTTTCCAGACGACTTAATATAAGTCTTCCAGACTTATAATTAAAATGTTATACTGGATGGTTGTGTGTTTGAGATTGTTTTCTTTGATTTATTTGCAGAATATTCCAGAACTCCCCCGTAGGATACATACACTAGGGCAAGAGCCTAGCGCTCAGCATAGCATTACGTATCATCCGTGTACGAAGTTGTATACTGCTCTAAGGAATGCTCTTAAGGATGAAGAATATGAAGAGCTGAAGGAGTCTAAGTTGGGAGTTTTCATCAAGTTCTAAGAGCTGGATTTTGAATGGGCTTCAAGGTTGGTTCACTACATACTCTGTTTCCAGCTCGACATAAAAAAGAAGTATGAGCTGTGGAGTCTTGCTGGTCCACAACCTTTGAGGTTTTCACTGTTCGAGTTTGAATACCTCACTGGTCTAAACTGCGAGTACATTGAGGACCTTGAGAGACCAAACTGTCCTGTTACAAAGGAGTTGGTTGCTTTCTGGGAGTTGTTGGGAGTTAATGTCGAAGCTGGGCCAACTACTGATCAGATAATAGATGCATTTGGGAGATGCGAAAAGTGGTCTCCGGATGATCGCAAGTGGCTCGGGTACCTTGCCATCTTGGCTGGATACATTGAAGGGATGAAGTTTTCAACCCATACACGGGTTTCTCTGGCTAGGCTAGTGATGGATCTAGAACGGTTTGAGAATTATCCATGGGGGAGAGTCGTGTTTAAGGTGTTGATGGACTCTGTGAAGGGCAAAGATATATCTGGTTGTTACACCATTGATGAGTTTTTACAAGCTCTCCAGGTCTGGGTGTACACAGCTTTACCGGAATTGGGTGCTAATTATGGTCAGCCCATACCAAACAGCTCTCCACCGATACTAGCTTACAAGGGTGGCAAAGGACGGCATTTTAAAGATGCCATTGAAAGACATGTATTTACTTTACTCCAGAAGCAGACGACTTATGATTAAGTCGTCTGGAAAGTCTTCCAGCTGGACGACTTAGCAGATGACATAAGTCGTCTGGAAAGTCGTCCAGTTGACGACTTTCCAGACGACTTAATCATAAGTTTTTCTGCGAATTCTTTTCTTTCCATCAGACTAGTGCTATGAACTTTGTTGAGAAGGGCATGGCTGAAATGTTTCCAAGATGAGACTCTGATGCTGATGATCCGGCCGCGGAGAACATAATTAAACTCATGTACATAAAGAAACCATGGAAGTGGACCATGGATTGCTGGGAAGTCACCGGTACTTGGGGCAATACAAGGCCGGTAGCAAAGAAAAGGAAGAAAGCGATAGTTCTGGTGAAGGAAGAGAGTCCAAGACATCTTAAGAAAGGTCGTACAGAGCGTATAGAGCTGGTAGATGAAGAGGAAGAGTCAGAGGAAGATGCAGAGGAAGTTGCAGAGGAAGAGGCTGAGGTCAGACCGAACGTTGGTGGGTTGACTAAAGAGGATATTGAAAGA